CACCTCACCCCTTAGCCTCCCCCAGTGACAAGGTCGGTGCAAAACGGGACAAACCAAAGGAGTAAAAAAATGCACCAGGCCTCCCTTTGGATGAACGGTCCAGATCGCACAGTGGGAGGAGGGGCAGACAAAGGTCTAGGGGCACTCCGGAGACTTCCTCCAGGCCCAGCCTAGGGAAAACGGAGCATCCCTTGAGGTGAAGGCGTCGTCGCGCCAATAAAGCTGCCTCTCCATCGGCCTCCGCAAAGCCCCTGGCAGCGAGGCCCGCCCCGGCAGACCGGTCTGGCCCCCGCCCCGCCCCGGCTCCATGGCAACCGCAGGCCGAGGCCTGACTGTCCACGGCTCGGCCGGGCCGGCTTCCCGGGCAGGCCTAGGATGCCCGGCCTGCTCCTCAGGCTGGCCAGCTCCTCCTTCCCACTTTCCTCCTGGCTGCCGGCCGGACCCGGGACCCCTCCTCGCGCCGACCACCCCTGACCGTGGCAGGCTGCTTCAAGGGGCACGAAAGGGTAGAATAAAAAGCCCAATTCACCTGTTGTTACAGATGTGAAACAAGCCTCGGTGCACGGCGCATGAGCCGCGGGCCCCCCCAACCACGGGCGGACTACAACTCCCACCAGTGACGGCGCGGTCCCTTCCGGGTCCCACGGCGGAAGTTCCGCCTGCGGCCCCGACGATGCTCGGCCTGTGCCTTTGGCCTGCCCTTCTGGGAGGGATGCCGCTTCCTAGGAGCTCGCGAGGCGTTCGCCTGCCTGGGCTGTCTGTAGTGTTCCTGAGCTCACGGTGCGAGATGGCCAGTCTTGACACTGTATCCGAGCACTGGCCGGAGGGCGCGCGCTGTAGTCCCGGGTGCAGGCGGTACTTCCGGCAGAGTGGCCGGGGACGCGCGCGGCCTGTTCCGTGGGAGCCGGCGGGGACTGGGGACCGTCTCTGTCGCCATCCCCAGCGGCCGCTCTGAGTTGTGCCTTTTCTCTCCTGGGTCTGCCCCCTTGGCCTTCTGCACTTTTAGGGAGGTGAGCGATTTCGCCTCACAGAGCCGTAAACTATGACAGGCAAAGGACAAGGTAGCGCTTACTGCTAGCTTATGGCGGTGGGGGTGAGGGACGACTGGTAGCCCAGACCACATCGCCTTTCAGGAGTGAGGAAAGGAGATCTCCCCGTTTCTTCTCTGAGCAGGACGAAGCATGTGTTCACTGGAAACTCAGTGGCGTTGGTCAGTAGTTCACAGCCGGGAGACAGTATTTTCATGGTGTGACCTTTCGTGATATTTGGAGAACTAGTACTATAATTCGTAATTAAAACAAACAAACAAAAACTATTCTCTCCTGCATGTTGGTGTGTTCAAGGTAACATGGAGTCAGATCCCTTGAAGTTGGAGTTACAGGCTGTTGTGGGTTCGCCCTTATCTTGGGTTTTCTATTCTACATAGCATCTGTGATAAAATACTATGGCCAAAACCAACTTCGGGATGGACGTTTATTTCTTCTTAGTGCGTCACAATCTGTCACTGGTTGAAGTCAAGTCAGGAACTGGAGCAAAAACCATGGAGAAATCATTGCTTACTATCTTCTCATGACTTCCCCAGGGGAGCTCCCCCGACCTCCACCTCGCCCACATCAATCATTCAAGAAAATGCCCACAAGCCAGTCTGGTCGGGCAGTTTCTCAGTTGTGGTTCTCTCTACCCAGTGACTCTACTTTGTGTCGAATTGACAAAATAATCAAGACAGTGTTCACAACTTCTGAGCCATATTTCCAGCCAAATAACCTATACTATTTTTTGTGCAGCCATTTAAATATGATATTAGCTGGGTGCCACGGAACAGATGACTTCAGCTATTTCAGAAGCTGGGGCGAAAGGATAGGGAGTTGGAAGCTAACCCGGATTGCAAAGTAAGAATGGCATGGTGGTGCACGCGTCTCTGTTTTGTTTTGCTTTGGTTTTTGATGCAGGATTTCTTCGTGTACCATTGGCTATCCTAGAACTCACTGTGTAGACCAGTGGTGGGTGGTACATGCTTTTAATCCCAGCACTCGGGAGGCCAAGGCACTTGGATATCTGATCTGAATAGTTCCAGGCAGTCAAAGGTGCATAGGTAGACCCTATCTCAAAGAAGACAGCAAGGAAGGAAAGCACATGGTTGTTATTTTCTCTACATTGCACAGAAGGCTAGGAGTTGGAGTGAATCATGATTTTTTTTTCATTCAAAGAATTACTTCTTGTGAACAAAAGAACAAAAATCCCTACACAGACATTGCAATTTCTTTTTTCGTTTTATTAAATAATAAAACTTGGGAGTAAATATTAAGGGAATAAACCTGAGAGAGCCACGGAGGAACTCCTTCCTCTCCCCACTTCCCTCAAAGAGTCTAAGCATTCTCTCAGCTCCTCCTTTTTCTCCTCTGTGTGTCCTTCTGTCTTCCCCTGAGTCCACCAGGAAACTATGGTCCACTCTGGCTACCTGAACATGGACTCTGCCCTCTGAACCAAGGTTGACTCTTGGTGATCTCGGAGCAATCCACACACACACAAAAAATCCCCCCTCTACATTCCCCCTTTTTGTCTAAATAAAAAAAGGTTTCAACTCTAACATAGTAAAACTATGTAAAATAAGAGCAATTATCAGGTATTGTCTAAATAGAAAGGAAAGATATTAACTTTAACAAAATGAAACTATATGCAATAAGAATTGCATTCACTCTGGGTGGTGGTGGCACCTTTAATCACAGCACTCAGGAGGCAGAGACAGGCAGATCTCTGTGAGTTCAAGGCCAGCCTGGTCTACAGAGCAAGTTCTAAGATAGACTCCAAAGCTACAGAGAAACTCTGTCTTGGAAAAAAAAATTTACAATGTCCAGTCAATTTGTATTTGGCAAATCAGAGAAAATACTCTATTACCTCTCTTGATGAGTCCAAAGTTTTATGCCTAATTTGCTTTCTATCATGACTAAGGGAAACTGTAACTATAATTATCTAGTCTTCAATCCAATCAAAGACCCGAGAAGGTTATATTACCTGAGTAACAGGAAATGAAGAGCAAACAACTTCCAAAACTAGAAATGACTGAGGTAACTAACTGCCTGGAGAGTCACCCAAGTTTCCTCTACAATGTTAGGGAATCCATCTTCACCCTACAGGCCTAGAATATCTGACAGATTTTTCTGTGAAGCAGGAATTTTGAAGGACTGCCCTCCCTTGTCTTGGCAAAGTCCAGCAGTTGCCATTTATGTATTATGTATACACTACTCTTTCTGTGTATATGCCTGAAGGCCAGAAGAGGGCACCAGACCTCATTACAGATGGTTGTGAGCCACCAACCATGTGGTTGCCAGGAATTGAACTCAGGACCTTTGGAAGAGCAAGCAATGCTCTTAACCACTGAGCCATCTCTCCAGCCCAGTTTTGGTTTTTTAATACAGGGCTTCTATGTTTATAATTGGCTGTCCTGTCCTGGAACTCACTCTGTAGACCAGGCAGGCCTTAAACTCAAAGATCCACTTGTCTCAGCTTCCTGAATGCTGGGATTAAAAGTGTGTGCCACCAGGCCTGGCTAACCTGTATTTTTTTATTATCCTAAATATTTTTTTAGGATTATAATTTTACATTGCATTTTTAAATGAACTACATAGGTATAATGTCTTAAATAAGAAATAGAAACATATAATACAATATAACAAAAATAGCCTTATATTTGTATTAGTATACAAGAATTTCTTGTTTGTTTGTTTTCTGTTTTTCTGAGACAAGGTTTCTCTGTGTAACAGCCCTATCTGTCCTGGAACTAGCTCTTGAAGATTAGGCTGGCCTCAAACTTAAAGAGATCCTCCTGCCTCTTCCTCATGAGTGCTAGGATTAATGGTGTATGCCACCACCACCCAGCTACAAGAATATCATAAACAAGAGTAGAAACATATAAAGAGTATGTTCTAACAAAGATAAACTTGAATTTGTATCAGTATACAAAAATCCATACCCCAAATTAAAATGTTTGAGATTAATTGTTGCTTTTATTTTTTTATTTTTTTGGTTTTTCGAGACAGGGTTTCTCTGTGGTTTTGGAGCCTGTCCTGGAACTAGCTCTTGTAGACCAGGCTGGTCTCAAACTCACAGAGATCCGCCTGCCTCTGCCTCCCTGAGTGCTGGGATTAAAGGCGTGCACCACCCGGCTGTGGCTTTTTAAAGTCAATACAATAACCTACCCTTTTATCCTATCATTCCTATATCCCACTTTTTTCTTTTCAGAAAGAAATCACTGAATTTCTTAGTTTCTTTCCTGACCATGACCAATAACAACTTGTGTCCAACCCCTCAAACAATGAGAAGAATCCGTTGAATGACCAAAACCCACCCATCTCATTTCGTGGTAATGTGGACAGAGTGTTCTTAAAAATATTTCCTGCACAGCCAGGCAGTGATGGTATGTGCCTTTAATGCCAGCACTCGGGAGGCAGAGGCAGGCGGATCTCTGTGAGTTTGAGACCAGCCTGGTCTACAAGAGCTAGTTCTAGGACAGGCTCCAAAACTACAGAGAAACCCTGTCTTGAAGGAAAAAAAAAGAAATATATATATATATATATATATTTCCTGCAGTCTGGGCGTGGAGGCAACAGCATCTTTGGGGGACCCTGAAAAAAAACTGAGACAAGATCAAGTTCTGGAAGAACTAGCTATTGTCGACTCTTGGTGTGATTTGAGAGTGCAAGGCTTAGCTGAAGTCTTGACTGGAGTAGCCTCTGAGGCTGGACCATCTTAGCTAACTGCTTTGAAGTTGTCCTTTAAAACTGTTTGTGGTTTAAAACTGATCTTTGAGTGGTGGTTGTCAGCATAGTGGTGTTAACACAGTCCAAGTGGGTTCATCATCGTGGGACCCCAATATTCTTTTGGAGACTTCAGAGGTCACCGTTAGGAATGATCATGATTCATTGAAGGAAACAAAAAAAATTTTTTTCTCTGTGGTTTTTTTTTTTTTTTTTTTTTTGTCCATAAAGGCTCTTTATGTTTTACATCTCTAGAAAAAGAATCCCAGGATTTTCCCTCCTGTGTGCTTTCGTCTTGCCTCTTCATGATCCATGATGCCAGCTGAGGTGGTCAGTACAATGAAGCCAAACTGACGGGACAGGAGCAAATTGTTCTGCCATTTTTCTAGGTCTTTGAGTTGCACTTCAAATCTAGGGCTTATCACTCCACACTTGTTCAACCTGCCGGTGAGGTTCACGACGATCTTCCCAGCTCTGTGGTCGTCAATGATTTCAAATTCACCAATGTAACCGTGCTTCATCATTACGGTTAGGAACCAAACGATGACTTTGGAGCAGGGCCTGATGAGGACCTGGCGTTTGCCTCTCTTCTCTGCATTGTTGATGCTTTTGAGAGCATCGGCCAGGACGTTCATGCGCACCATGGTGGTGGCGCGGGAAGATGGCCGAAAGAAGACTTCTCTGTGGTTTTGAAGCCTGTCCTGGAACTAGCTCTTGTAGACCAGGCTGGTCTCCTCCCGAGTGCTGGGATTAAAGGCGTGTGCCACCACCGCCCGGCTAAGACAAAACTTTTTTTTTAATTTTATGAATTATTTATCTTTATTTTATATGCATTGGTGTGAAGGTGAAACAAAGCATTTTAAAGGTCATATGCAGCAGATGCTGAGGCACAATCTATTAAATACATCTGGAGTACGCAAACTTAGTTTCTAGCTACCTGCTCAGACTCAAGCCTGAAATCACATACAGGAAGCTAGATGAAGCCTATTTCTGGAACCAGTACCCTATATGACCATTAATATCACAATACATGGTTTAAAATACATATATACATAAATTTTATAGTTTTGAGATAATATTTATACCTTAAGAAAAGTTTTAAAGAGTCAAAAATAAAACCAGAGGATTGATTATGAGATCAGTGGCAATAGAATAGTCCCTTAGCCGGGCGGTGGTGGCGCACGCCTTTAATCCCAGCACTCGGGAGGCAGAGGCAGGTGGATCTCTGTGAGTTCGAGACCAGCCTGGTCTACTAGAGCTACAAGAGCTAGTTCCAGGACAGGCTCCAAAACCACAGAGAAACCCTGTCTCGAAAAAACCAAAAAAAAAAAAAAAAAAAAAAAGAATAGTCCCTTAACTTTGGTTTTTCTTCTGTTAGGAGGCTCTTCTGACATGAGACAGAGATTTTGAATTTTCCTTTAACAAGCATTCTTAGGTTTAGAAAAGGAAAGAGCCACTCCCAATTTCAAAGCCATCTTTAATTTTTAATTTAATTGGGACTACAAAATGATCATTTGCCAAATATGCCAAATATGTCTATAGAGAACAGTTAGAGACAAACATTTGGGAAGGTTTATGAGATTCTATCTTATTGGAAATGTGCTATACAATTAGGCCAATTTGCTCCTTCACTTGGAGCAAATTCTCTGGATGTCCTTTAAGTGTCTCATTTGTCCAGTGGTCTTCAGATTCCTTAGTTGGATGCTTTTATTCTGGAAGGACAAAGACAAAAACCAAACCTTGCCCCAACCTTAACTTTGGGGAGTTTCTCCTTTTGGCAGGTCAAATGGTCACACTGTTTGATGACCTTATGCCTCTCCTAATCAAGAGGTCTCTCTCGTTCAAATCTAATCTTTTATCAGTTTAGATGTTATAAATAGCTTTTCTCCTATGGAAATAAAAGTCATACCTCTTCCCCAACATAACATGTACTCCGGTTTCCATTATGAAGTCAACACAACTTCGAAGTATACAGGGTGGATCAGTTGAGCAGGATTTTTCCATTACCCAATGTCTCTCCACAATTATCATTTCATTCTTATTATCGTTTAAAAATTTTAAAGTCTATAGAGCATTGTGCAATCTATCTCTGGGTGACTTTATTACCCCTTTTTGTTTATAAAGCATACCTTGTAAAGTACAATTAAATCATTCTATAACTACTTGTCCTGTAGGATTATGTGGTATACTTTTAATATGCTTTATTTTGTAATGTTGAAAACTTTTATTTTCTAGAGATATATACTGGAGCATTTTCTGTCATAATTTGTACAGGTATCCCTCTGATGGCCATAACTTCTAATAAATGTGTGATTATTGAATCAGCTTTTTCAGAGCTTAAAGCAGTTGCCCACCGAAATCCTGAATAAGTATCTATGGTATGGTGCACATATTTTAATTTTACAAATTCCACAAAATGAAACACATCCATTTGCCAAATTTCATTTTTTTGAGTACCCTTTGGATTACTTCCTGCAGCAAGTAGAGTTTGGTTACACAAAGAACAAGTAGGACATTTCCTTATAGTTTTCTTGTCTTGTTTTCAAATGATAGAAAAAAATCTTTCTTCGAATTTTTGCTGTTAACATGGTCTTTCTTTTGTTCTTTCGTTCTTTTGTGGTTTTTCAATACAGGGTTTCTCTGTAGCTTTGGGAGCCTGTCCTGAACTAGCTCTTGTAAACCAGGCTAGCCTTGAACTCACAGAGATCTGCCTGTCTCTGGCTCCTGAGTGCTGGGATTAAAGGCATGCGCCACCACTGCCATGCACAACATGGTGTTTCTTATAAAACTCTGAGGCTTCTAGCACATTTCACACTACAAATTGATCAATTTCCTCATTACATTGTGAGGGACCTGATATTATATGCGATGATTTCTATTACTCAATATTTTTTTAAATATTTATTTATTATGTATACAATATTCTGTCTGTGTGTATGCCCACAGGCCAGAAGAGGGCACCAGACCCCACTGCAGATGGTTGTGAGCCACCGTGTGGTTGCTGGGAATTGAACTCAGGACCTTTGGAAGAGGAGGCAATGCTCCTAACCTCTGAGCCATCTCTCCAGCCCCCTCAATATTTTTTGTAATTGAGTAGATAGTAAAATTAATTCTGAATTACTTGGAATAGGTTCAGTGGTTTCAATATGTAAAGCAACCCTTTCTACATAGTGGGAGCCAGTAACTGGATAAGAGGTTCTGAAAAATCTAATAATACCATGAGAATAGCATATAATTCTGACATTAGAAAGGATCCTTTGGGCTTTGAGCCACTTTACTTATTTTCCCTGATTTATAATCTGCTTTTCCTGTATTATTTCCATCAGTATAGAATGTAGGAGCTCCAGAAATTGGTGTTGCTAACACAATATGAGAGAGAATCCAACTAGTTCTTTTTATAAACTGATGTCTCTTGCTTTTGGAATATTTGTTGCTAATCTCTCCCAAGAAATTACTGCAAGGTCTTTGCCAATGTTCATTTTCGGCCCATAATGGGGAAATCTCAGCATTAGTAAAAGGTACTAAAATTTCTGCTGGGTCTATTCCTGATAACTGATAAAGTCTCAATTTTCCTTTCAGAATCAATTCAGAAACCTTTTCTACACGTGACTTTGCTTTTTTACACTGTGTGGTCAAAATATTCTAAAATATTATCTTCTCTCTACATAAGAATTCCTGTAGAATTCGTGGTAGATAAAATAACCAGAATACAAACAGATGATCCACATTTGCATCCTGTAATTTCTACCAAAACAATTCGCTCTCAGCCTCCGCTGGTAATTTTCTTGGACTCTTTAAATACTTATCACCTTGTAAAGTTTGAAATAAATTACTTAGTTCTTGAGTTGTCAATCCATTTGTGGGCTACAGCCAGTCGATATCTCCTAGCAATTTGGGTTTTTTTAATTATTTATTTATTTATTATACAATATTCTGTCTGTGTGCATGTCTGCAGGCCAGAAGAGGGCACCAGACCTCTTTACAGATGGTTGTGAGTCACCATGTGGTTGCCAGGAATTGAACTCAGGACCTTTGGAAGAGCAGGCAATGCTCTTAACCACTGAGCCATCTCTCCAGCCCTTGTTTTTTTTTTTAATTTATTTATTATGTATACAATGTTCCTCCTGCATGTATGCCTCTATGCCAGAAGAGGGCACCAGACCTCATTACAGGTGGCTATGAGCCATTATGTGGTTGCTGGGAATTGAACTCAGGACCTCTGGAAGAACAGTCAGTGTTCTTAACCTCTGAGCCATTTCTCCAGCCCTAGCAATTTGTTTTTGTTTTTGTTTTTGTTTTTTGAGACAGAGTCTCTCTGTATAACAGATTTGACTATCCTGGAACTCATTTTGTAGACCAGGCTTACCTTGAGCTCATCAAAATCCACTTGCCTCTGCCTCCAGAATGCTGGGATTAAAGGCGCGTGCCAACACTGCCCAGCTCTCCTAGCAATTTTTGAAAATCATTGCAAGGTCATAGTTGATCTCTCCTGATTTGTACTTTCTGTGTTTGTTTAATTTGTTTGTTTCTGAGACAGGATTTTTCTGTAGAACAGTCCCAGCTGTCCTGGATCTTGCTCTGTAGACCAGGCTGGCCTCTAATTCACAGAGATCAGCCTACCTCATCCTCCTGAGTGCTGAGATTAAAGGCTTGCACAACCACTGCCTGGCTGGCATTAGGTCCTTCAATTGCTCTGTGGAGGAGTCTTCCCCATACTGACAGGTAATGATTGAACCTGTCATTTGACGTTGGGGACAGTGATAGACTTCCTAAGGCATTTCCTGATGGCAAAGGGTTACCTTGCTCGTCCTTTGTTGATCTGCATTCATTAGTACAATGTCAACCTTTACTATGCTTTCTGTATTCTCCAGAGTTCTGCTGGGACCTTCTGTTTGAATTATCTCTTTTTTTTTTTTCTTTTTGGTTTTTCGAGACAGGGTTTTTCTGTGGCTTTGGAGCCTGTCCTGGAACTAGCTCTTGTAGACCAGGCTGGTCTCGAACTCACAGAGATCCGCCTGCCTCTGCCTCCTGAGTGCTGGGATTAAAGGCGTGTGCCACCAACGCCCGGTTTTGTTTTTGTTCTTTTTTTTTTTTTTAAGTGGCTTTTTTGGTTTGGGACCTCTCTTGGAATCTCTCCTAATGGGTCTCTGGTCAAAAGGGAAAGTTATCTGGTTGCTTTCTGGTTTCTCTAATCTAGTAGAGACCTATTCCATTTTAAAAAGGATTAGGTATATGTCATGTATGTATGCCATAGCATAGTGCCCAGGTCAGGGGATAAATCTGTGGAGATTTTCTCCTTCCACCTTTATGTGGGTTCTGGGGTTCCAATTTAAGGTGTCAAGCTTGCCACAGCTGAGGCAAACCCATAGCTCGAGACAGGGTGTTTCCCATTTCCCAGTTGCCCACAAACTTGTAGCAATCCTCCCAGTTGAAGAACCTAGCATTACCAGTGCTGTTGTTGTTGTCATGTGCCACCACACTCAGCTCAGAATCCACGTTTTCCCAAATTACCCTTCATCTTCCTCATGTATACACCTCATATGTCCCTTCCTCAGTTGATGCTTGCTTCCCAGTGCTTAAGAAGGCAAAGTCGGGGCTGGAGATATAGTTCAGAGGTTAAGTGCACAGGCTGCTCTTTCAGTAGGTCCTGAGTTCAATTCCCAGCAACTATATGGTGCCTCACAACCATCTGTAATGAGATTGGGTGCCCTCTTCTGGCCTGAAGGCATTCATGCAGGCAGAATACTGTATACATAATAAATCTTGGGGGAAAAAAGGCGGCAAAGTCAGCCCTCACAGTTCTATCGCACATCTTCAAGAGTCTTTCTTCTTTCTTTTTCTTTCTTTCTTTCTTTTTTTTTTTTGAGACAGGGTCTCCGTGTTGCTTTGGAGCCTTTCCTGAAACTATCTCTTGTAGACCAGGCTGGCCTCGAACTCACAGAGATCTGCCTGCTTGTCTCCCGAGTGCTAGGATTAAAAGCATGCACCAACCACTGCCCGACTAAAATAATTCATGTACATTGGTATTTTGTCTGCACGTATCTCTGTGTGAGGGTGTCATATCTTAGAGTTACAGACAGTTGTTAGCCGCCATGTGGGTGCTAGGAATTGAACACAGGTCCTCTGGAAGAGCAGTCAGTACTCTTAACAACTGAGCCATCATCTCTCCAGCCCCAAGGGTCTTTTAGTGAGTGTTCTTTCTCACGGTGCCTCTGTTTCAGGTATGTGTCTCGAGTTCCTTGTCCTTTCTGACTGCATTCTATTCACTCCCCACCCACCCCACCTCTCTTTCAGGGTTTCTCTGTGTCCTGGAACTTGCTCTGTACACCAGGCTGGCCTCACACTCAAGAGATCTGCCTGCCTCTGCCTCTGGGATTAAAGGCAGGCGACACCACGGCCAGGCTACCTATACTCATTTTTGAAAGGTCGAAAAACTCATTAGACTTGGTCACTTAAGAGCTCCAAGATCATAGAGGATGATGTTCACGTTCCCAGTACAGTCAGTCTGTTAATAATTCAAACTCAGCCTTCATGTAGATCATCATTCATCAAATATTTACTGAGCCCGTGAAGACAAAACGTCCTGTTCCCCACGCCGAGGATACACCTATGAATAAAAACACCAGGTAGTGGCGAAAACTACAAAGAAACCATCGGGTTGGTGTGTGATTGGCGGTTCAGTCAGGGACGGTTTTCTAGAAAACTTTGAAGTGACAAATTTGAGAGCGCCTTGCCTCGCGTGCGAATATCATAAGGGAAGATAATCTCGAGGTCACGGGAGCAGCAGGCAGAAGGCCGAGGAGGCAGAAACCAGCTGAGGTAGTTCGAGAGACATTAATGAGCGCTCGGAGGTGTGTGAAGCCGAAGCTCCGAGCTAAACTGGGGCTCGATTTCCAAGGCGGACGCGGCCCCGGGTGTAGCAGCAGGGCTGTGGGGACTGCACATTAGCGGCACACCGCACTGCACACCCGAGACCGCTTCCTCTAGGAGTGACACAGAATCTCCTCGAGGCTGTTGACCGCCTAACGATCGGACGCAGGAAGCCCGGGAGAGTCAGATGTAGAGCTCACGAAGAGCAGGGACTGGAACTCGGTCCCGAAAGGCGGGCGGAAGAGGCAGGTAGAGCCTCTTGTTGTGGAGGCTAACAGCGTGCTGCGCAGGCGCACATTTGCTCTTCCAGCTAGTCCGTTAGGGCTCCGGTGCCTAGAAGGGGCGTGGCCGGGCCTCGCCGCCGGAAGGGGGTTGGCTGGGCGGGGCTAGGAGGAGGAGGAGGTGGCGTCTGCGCGCGCGCGCGCGCGGGTGCGAACGGGAAACGCCGCGAGGGCCAGGCCGGGCGGTGGAGACGACGGACGGTGACCATGGCCGCGGCAGCGGGCGGTGGTCCGGGAGCGGCAGCAGGCGCCGTGGGTGCAGGGGGTGCGGCGGCGGCCTCGGGCCTGGCCGTGTACCGGCGGAAGGACGGGGGCCCTGCCAGCAAGTTTTGGGAGAGCCCGGATACGGTGTCCCAGCTGGATTCGGTGCGAGTCTGGCTGGGCAAGCACTACAAGAAGGTGGGTCCGCGCGCGCCCGTGGGGACCGAGGAGCCACGCGACGGGGGCTGGTGGTGGCTGCGGGCCTCGCGAGTCTCGGGCCACCCCTCCCCCCTCCCCCGCGCGCCACGAGGGACAACAAAGGCTGGCTCGGCTCTCGCCACGCCCCCGCGGGCGGCTGTAGACACGCGGCGGGACGGGCCTTTGCTGCTGGCTCTCTCGAGCCCACACACTCGCGTGGGAAGCCCCAGCTCGCACGCTTCTTCTGTGCAGAAGCAGCGGGAGCTGGGCAGAGTCGCAGGGCGTGTGTCTCTGGTCTTTTGTTAGCTACCTTAGGTGTGTGAACAAAGAGCATAAAAGACTGAGCCCAGCGTGGTAGAAGTAGCTTGAAGTTTTGTTTAGACACCAATTTCGAAGCGGTTCGGTAATTAAGGGCTTACTACCCAGGGTCCATTCGCTAAGGAGCCTTGGATGATTGGCCTCGCGAGTTAATGTAGATTTAAACCCTGCAATAGGCTTGATACAGGACAAAGTGATGGGTTTTCAGTTTATTGTACTTTTTGTGATGTGTAAAGATGTGAGTACAAAAGTTAATGCCCTTCAGCGAGAACTCCGTTTATATCTGTTTTCTTTGTAATGTTTATTTTTTTGACAAACTTCCCATGTTTCTCCTATTTTCGAATGTACATTCTGCTGAGTCAGTTGTTTAACAAAGTTGTAATTTAACCCTTTGTTAATTTTTTTTTTTTAAAATTACATCTATCTATTTTGGTGGGGTGCATCCCGCTCCTATGTGGATGTCAACTTAAGCGAAGTGATTCTCTCACACCAAATTGGTCCAGGAATCGAACTTAGGTGGTCAGTCTTGGTGGCCAGTGCCCTTTATCTTACCGGCTCAGTTATAGGTATAGTGAAATAGCCCCACTATGTCAGTGTTGAAGAATGACTCCAGAACACTTCCTCTTCTTCAGCAGTGTTTTCCCCATCGAGACCCCAGGATGGGTTTGAGATGTGTTCTCGATCATAGTTAATGTTTAACTGTATCATCCTTAATAGTTTCTGAATAAGTTTTTGTCAAATGAATGAAATATTAAACTAGCACCTAGGGATTTAAATCATTTTGTAACCTGCAATCCTTTGGGAGGTAGAAGCATGAAGATCCCAAGTTCAAGGTTTTCCTCTCTGGGGCTACCAACATGAGATACTATCTCAGAAGAGTAAAAAAACAAAAAACTAGTTCCTGTCCGCAGCTTGATGGGTGAACTGTTGGTGTTTGACAGGGATCTTGTGACTGTGCTTGTAAGGCTTTATTTAAAGGCAGAAATAGTGTTGACTTATTTGTGCTTGGTGTACACTAAAGCATTTCTCTGTCTCCTCCCCTCTTCAGGGTCTCACTGTGTAGCCTTGGCTGTCTTCGAACTTGCTCTGTAGACCACGCTGGCCTCAAACTCAGAGATCCGCCTGCTTGTCTCCCTAGTTCTGGATGCTGGAATTAGAGGCGTGCACCACTACCCTGAACTCACTAAGCATTTCTGTTGTATTTAAGAATGCATTTACAACATATAAATTTAAAATTTATTTAATTGTGTATGTGACCTTCATGTGGGTGTCCACAGAAGCCAGAAGAGGCACCTGACTCCTTGGAATTAGGAAAAGGCAATTGTAAGCTACATATGATGGAGGTGCTGGGAACTCAGCTCTGGTCCTTTGGAAAAGCAGCAAACACTCTTATCTGCTGAGCCATCTCCAGCACCAGACAGAAATTTAAGTCTCAGCAATTAATATGAAACAAATGAGACATTGAAGGTCTCTTCTTTCGAGGCCATCCTGGCCTACATAAGACTTCAGAAAAACAAAAGATCCAAAATCAGTATAGCTCAGAAGCCCCAGAACTCTGTGGCCTCTGGTCTTCAATTCCTTCCTGATCCTTCTTCCATTTCTGGAGTTGTGGGATTATGAGGCTGAGCCTCAAATATTCTTTTTAAATTTATTTTTGGTTGATAAGTGAGTGTTTTGCTTGCATACGTGTGTGTGCCAAAGTGTGCCAGATAATTTGGACCATCTGGAACTAGAGTTGGCAGTGGTTTTGAGTTCCCATGTGTGAGCTGGGAATCAAACCTGGATACCCTGGAAGAGCAGCCATGCTTTTAAATACTGAGCCTTCTCTCTCCCCAGCCCTATCAAAGGTTTTGCATTTAATTCATTAATTATGCTTCCCTTGTCATGAAACTACCTTGTCTCTACTGCTGGTTTGTCTTTTTTTGTGTGAGTGTTTATGGGCGCTTTTCCTCCATGTATGTGTGTGTACCACCTGAATGCCTGGTATCCTCAGAGGCCAGGAGAAGGGGCATGGGATCTCCTGAGACTGGCGTTAGATGTTTCTGAATTGCCATGTAGGTTCTGGTAAAAGCACCTAGTCTTGAGTGCTGAACCATCTCTTCAGCATACATTATCTGCTTTAAAGAATTCACATACAGGCCAGGTGGTGGTGGTGCACGCCTTTAATCCCAGCATTCTGAAAGCAGAGGCAGGTGGATCTCTGAGTTCCAGGACAGCCAGGACTACAAAAAGAAACTCTGTCTCAATAAAAGAAAATAAATAAGTTTTAAAATTATGCACATGTATGTTTTTTATGATTATGATCTTTGCCGTGGAGAATGTGTTTCATACACCTAAAATTTGGTGTCGTGCCATTACTTAATAGGTAATAGGAGGTAAAGTAGCTTTCCCTCCAGCATCAGCTGTAGCCGTGTTTGAATCCCTGTCTTTTTCTTGTAGTATGTTCATGCAGATGCTCCTACCAATAAAGCGCTGGCTGGACTGGTGGTACAGCTTCTTCAGTTCCAAGAAGATGCCTTTGGGAAGCATGTCACCAACCCGGCTTTCACCAAACTACCTGTAAGTACATGAGTACATGTTTCATAGGATCTTCAGCTTCTTCTGTGTTTTTTTTTTTTTTTTTTTTTTTTTTTTTTTTTTTTTTTTTTTTTTTTTTTTTTTTTTTTTTTTTTTTTTTTTTTTTTTTTTTTTTTTTTTTTTTTTTTTTTTTTTTGCTTTTATTTTTGAGACAGGTTTTCTGTGTATATCAGCCGTGGCTGTCCTGGGACTTTCTTTGTGTAGACTAGGCTGGCCTCAAAATCAATCTACCTGGCTCTGCCTCCGAGAGCTAGGAGTAAAGGTGTGTGTTATCACTGCTGGGCTCAGTTTCTGTACTTTGAAGTGTCACTTGTGGCTGATTTCCCTTGCTATTGTGATTGGGGTAGGGGTGGACACAACAACTATACAGAGAAGTGTTTGTTTATTTTTGATACAGCTCTGGAACTGCCTCTGTATGGGAGACTAGCTGATCCTTTTGCCTTCACTTTCATGAGCTGGGATTACAGGCATGCTCTGTTATCCTCAGTTTAGTGGTAGAATTCGTGCCTGCTATGTCATTTAATGTGTAATGTGTTTTAGACTCTGCAACAAACATGAAGACTCAATATTTTTGTTTTATGATTGTTATAGTCTCTGCTGTGCTGTATGTATATAGTGATACTTGTCTGTTAGACTCTTTTTGATTTTTTTGAGACAGGGTTTCTCCATAGCTTTTGGAGCCTGTCCTGAAACTAGCTCTTGTAGACCAGGCTGGCCTTGAACTCATAGAGATCCACCTGCCTCTGCCTCCCGAGGGCTGGGATTAAAGGCGTGCGCCACCACTGCCCAGCTCTTCTGTTAGACTCTTGTGACAAGAGTATATTTTGTTTTTTGTTTTTGATTTTAATTTTATGTGCATTGGTGTAAAGGTGTCAGATCTCTTGGAACTGGTGTTACAGACAGTTGTGAGCTGCAGTGTGGGTGTCAGGAATTGAACCAGGTCCTCTGGAAGAGCAGCCAGTACTCTTAACAGAAATTTCTCTCTAGCCCCACGTGGGTTTTTTTTTTGGTTTTGTTTTGTTTTGATTTCTGAGATAGGGTTTCTCTGTAGTTTGGAGCCTGTTGGCCTTGAACTCACAGAGATCCACCTGCCTCTGCCTCCTGAGTGCTGCTGGGATTAAACCTGTGTACCACCACTTTTTTTTTTTTTTTTTTTTTT